CTGTGGCAATTCAGTGTAACAAAAATCCATAGACCACATTTGGCGTTATTATCGCTCAAAAAAAGATGCCAAATTTCAAAACGCGAAAATATGTAAATTCGTGTATATCTTAGAAAATTTTGAATAAAAAAGCCTAATTTTTTGCAGATATGCTTAAAAATACACCTACTTTAAGATGATGGTAAAAATTTTATAAAGTTATAATTCAAAATTTTTTCGAAAAAAAAATTATAAAAAATTGATTTTAAAATAGAAATTTTAAAAATAAAACGCAAAAAAAATGGGGTAAATTTTATTTGGAATGAACCTAAATTTCGAAATGTGAGAGAAAAAAATCAAAAAAGTTTAATAAAAAAATAGATATTAATAAATATTTGCCAATTCAATTAACATTGAGGAGCTAAAATTTTGAGAGCTAATATTTTAAAAACTACTCGTACGATTTTTACAAAACTTGGTATTCTGGCATAATTTGAATCGTAGAATCGACATATGGAAAAAAATTGGTATGTTATTTCAGAAAAAGTCCAATTTTGTGTCAAAATACCTATGTTAGAATAGTGCTATATATAAATCTAATATATATCCCAAGTCGCGCTTTCGAGACATGAAAAACGCAGGTTGAATTTTGTCAATCAGCCCAGTAGAACGGGAGATATAGCACTGTCCCTTTTTTTTTTTTTTTTTTTTTTTTTTTTTTTTGAGCAGTGTACATACACTCTTTTGCAAAAACATCGAAGCGCTATGAAGGAAGTGGTTGTTTTGATGAAATTGAACATGTGTGTAGCTCATACACAGATAATAAAATGATTAAAAAATCAAGGTCATAGTATCTGTCCACAGCTCAAAATCACCAACTGAGTGTTCAAATTAGTAGTTGGTCGAACCGCCCCTGGTAGCAATGCAATATTGAGGCAAGGAGTGTAGAGTTTCCTAATCATCCTGCGACGCATTCTGCCAGCCATTCATCAGTTGTCGCTCCAGATCTGCGATATTTTGTGGTGCCCGAATCTGGCGGCCTACTACGCCCCAGATATGTTTGATTGACGGAGTTTGCTGCAACACCACTCCAGACGACTCCGCCGATGTTGTGGGGGTCAAAGGCAAATGTCTTAAAGGCCTCTGTGAGTGTAACCGTACCTCAGACAAGCGCTGCGAGATGGTGGATGATACCATTGCTGCCAACATTTTGCACAGCAGTGTCTGTACACTGCAGGTGGTGGCCTACTGCTCGGTATGACCTTTGTGCAATTCTGCAATGCGACCACGTTCGAAGTCTTCGATATCATCATAATGGCATCTTTAGTTGCTTCTTTACGGAATTAGAATTGCAGCAATAAAACAAGATAAATTTTCTGCCTCTGTTACTGGTTTTATACTTTTCAAATTATGGGGTATGATCGCAATTCCTGTTCATTTGCTTTTTTAAAAATTTGATAATTTGCATGTTCGATCAAAATGTTTTTACATACTAAATTTCGTCACGATCGCGAAAGTCCTTCTTGGTGCTTTGATTTTTTTTGCAAAAAAGTATATATATATATATACATAAAGAGAGAAAACATTCTATTTCTCTATATTATAGGCCATACCTTTCTTAAAAAAAAGGTGTATGACATTTTAAGTAATGGTCTTAATTTATCTTACTAAATTAAGTGCCTTTTTAAAGTGATAACAAAAATTAATTCTATTATATTACGATGTTACAAAATTCCTCTGTATCTTTTATTTTATAGATATTTTTAGTTTGTTTTTATTTATCAGGTCTCTGTCTAATTTTTTAATGCATCTAAAATTTTTTCATAGATTTCATGAACATATTTTCTTAAATCTACAAACATTCATGGCTTCATCAACAAATCATGCAAATGTTACAGTAGTAAAAAAATAAAAAATCATTACTACATAAATGATTAAAAACTTAAACTATATGGAAATGTTAATATTTATACTGCAGAAAAATTTAAATTTAAAGTCTAAATAAATATGAAAAATTTGCATCAAAATTTAATGCCTAACAATTTAAAATATGCAGTGTTTAGTTCAAATATGACTTGTACTACACATTGTTCGTATATTTTGTATTGCAAATGTTTTGTAGCAAAAAGCTTCCAAATCAAAACTTGAAATTTCTGTAGTGTATACAGATTTTGAAAGAATGGAAGGAATTTACAAGATGACACATGCACAAATGAGGTTATCTTTGAATTCTGAAGCTGCAAGAATGAAAAAAGAATTATAAGGAAAAATGGATCCTTAAAACAAAGACCTTTGAAAGAGGAAAGTGATTAAGACTACAGCGACATCAAACTTGACAACTCACTTTTCAGCTTGGAAAATGAGGAAAAAAGACATGACCACTAAAGTGAACGTCCTCATCCTTTCAAGCAGGGAATACCAAGGCCACTATAATGGCCATCCTGTTCCCAAATGGTTAATAAAAACATGAAATTTACAATACATGAAATATTTCTTTAGATATTTGATAGCTAAATTTATCCTTTTCATACCTTTGGCATGGATTTAACGAATTTTTTCATGAAAGAATGCTCCATTTTTTTCCATTTCTACGGAAGGGTTACTTTTGCAGAAGCATCGTGTGCTTCCTTATTCTTTTCTCTCACTCACATAGGATTTAAATTCGGAGAGTATACAGAAGTTTTGATAACTTTTCATAACAACTACCAAAAAAAAAAACTAATAAATTAAAAATATTTTATGCTATGTGTTTAAGATCATCATAATGATAGAAGTTGAATTTTGCATTCCAAGTTTTCTACTAGATGCTTATACTAATCCACACTATTTTTGATGAACACTAAATACCTTAATCTAAAGGCAGTGAAATATCATCAAACCTATATGCCTCTTCCCCCCCCCCCCCCCCCGTGCATGACACTAGTAACAGGTTTTCCAAGATTAGTTTGAAATTCGACTTTTGTCACATATTAATTTGTCTGTTAGACCCAAATAAATTATTATTAAATTTTGACTTTTCTGCAAATACAACTTTATCCCAACATGATAAAAGGCCCACCAGCGGCTGAGCGGTAAAATTGTTGAACACTGGTAGTCCAGTCTCAGCCTTGAATCCCACGATCTGGTTAGCTGCATGGGCATTTTTATGCATTTCCCCATGTGTAACATGTATCGCGAGCCAGCTTCCCTTAGTTTTCCTTGAAGGCAATCCTCCCCTTTGGCATAGCCCTCGAGGTTTTGCCGTAATCATATAAACCGAACCAAACCCAATATAATAAAACTTTGCTTTGAGAATGCCAGGATTATGTTTCTTGTTGCCTTGCTGACAAATTTTCTTTTTGTTGATTGTTCAAATATCCACATACCTTAAATGACTCTTTTTTTTTTTTTTTCCAACAATCTGCTAGCCGAATTACGCTTATGCTAGAACTTTTATGGAACAAAAGTGCTTAATCATGATGAAGATTAGGTGCGAAATTGGGAGAAAGTGCACAATCGCAAACTGCTTGCCGCGTTTTTAAGAATTCCACATACACGATATCCATGTACACGTCGACCTATTTTCACTTAAAAAAAAAATCCCAGAATTGCACAAAAATGGCATTGCGCACACTCTTGTCTTTATCCATGTACACTGCTAAAGTCCTAGCTAGTAACCTGTATCGCCTTACCAAAATGTCGCCAAACTACCTGTTACCATATTCCAAAGATTAGCCAAAAGCTTCAGTGTGAAGTTATATAGAAAACCATTCTTCTAAATCTGCTAAACATTTTACAGTACTAATTTTTAGGTCTTGCTTTATTTTTTTATAAAATAAATCTGCAATTCCTTGGTGTTAGCCTGTAACATCGTACATATTTCAGTGCATTTTTAACAGTCTGATGCAATTTCCATCAATTTGTAACAACAAAGGTAGTTAAATACTTTGAATCATGGGTTTTGGGATATTTTGAATAAATTTCTAACAGAATTGGTTGTGAATTTGTAGCCTCTTGCCATATTCAATTCATGTTTAGAATTGTTAATATATTTTGCTAAACAAGTAATAATTTCCAAATGCAGATGATAATTCTTGTAATGTATTTTTATTTAAAACAAAAACTACAATGAGAAACAATGCTTACCGAAACATCTAAGTGTTCAAATTATGCAAGTTACTGATTAAAACTTTCTGAAACAATCCGAACAAATTATTTTGGCTCTTAGAATTGGGTGGTAATTTTGGTATAAAATTGGGTGCCCCTTCATTTGGCGACAAATTCTGTTCAGTTTTGGTGATGACACCCCATTTTTGGGTACCATGATATTTTTAACTTAGTTTCAACTTTCTGATTTTTTTAAAGTGAAAAATAGATCAATGTACACATGGAGCACATCAAGTCAAGGCAATGTGCAATGCCGAGTTCATGCAATTCTCTGATGTTTTTTCAATTGAAAATAGATCAATGTGTACATGGACAACGAGTTTGTACAATTCTTTGACTTCTTATTTTGGTTTTGTGTACGGGTCATCTTTAAATTGTGCCTTCCTGGTGCTGATCTTGGCATAAAAAAAAAAAAAAAAATCGACAAAAAAGCAAGGAGCATCTAATTGTAAACTTTTACCATTATTATATTATAATGAGTATTTTTACGATATTTATTTTAGAAAAAGCAAGGCTTAAAACAGAGAACAAAATGAATGTATTAGAAAAAAAAAAAAATACTCTGTGGTTCAATATTTATTATATGATCTTCCCAAATAAATTTTAAAAATACATGAGTGTTCATAAACAAATGTCAGCCACTGTAATTACAAGAATGGTTGCAGATAATGTGAGCAAAATACATCTAAAAAAATGACAAGGAACTAAAAAGTGTCTTGAAACTATGAACTGAAAGTATGCAAACAACATTACACTCAAATAGTTTTTGCTACGATTAAAACCCATTTATGCCTAGCGCTCCATTAATGCAACTGGATTCATGGTCATAACATTATATATCGTATCAAACATATTACTAATATTTCATTACTTACCCCAAAATGACAGATGGCAATAAGAGGTTTGATTGAAACAGACAGCAAACAATTGATTTCGAAGCTGAAATTGAAGTAAGAGCAGTCGAAATTTCATTAATACTCTCATATAACTCACTGCTTGTCAAAATATGTTTGTTTAAATCATCATAATAATATATTACACGAAAAGATGCGAGCGAGCAACGATCAAATAAGTCATAAAGTGTGATATGTTCTTGCATGTTTCCAAATATCATAGAGTAAAATATGGAGCGGAATGTGTTCCTATACTTGTTGTTATGTTACTGAAGTTCTCCCTCGTTTACAAAAGTAAACTAGAAACATCGAACATGACATGCGTTTGACACATTGGTTCCATCCGTTCCGATAAACAGGAAAATATAAGTTCGCGCTACACTTCCTTGGAAAAACAAAACAAAACATTCTTGCACGTGTTTGCAACGGTAACGATCGTAAGTAACCAATCATATGTCGACTTGGGATAATAAAAAAAAAATTTGGCTGCACCCAATTGAGAGATATCTCTCCTTCCTTGATATGAAGAATCTGGCATGGAATATGATAGCACAATTGGGCATTCAGCAACATTTTGCTTTAACCATTATTTGATAAATTGGCCAGTGTTCTACTACCCAACTACCAAGCTTGTCGTACAGATAGACAAGTCGGAAGAGGTCGTCGCACCCTTGCGTTAGTGAAAAGGCAGTTACCCCATTACTGGCACAACATTCGCACTTCGTTTGAAAGCACTACCACCCTTATCACTCTTGCCAAGAGAAATGTTACTATCGCCAATATCTATATCCCACAAAACAGCACTCTTGATCCGGTGGAACTTAACTCTATCTTTACTCTTAAACCCTCCACTATTATTGGTGGAGATTGGAACACCAAGCATACCTAGTAAAAGAACATCCTCTCAAATGCCTTAGGCAATTCCTATTCAACTTCATTCAGACCAATGGCTACTCCATCATTGCTCCCGATAACTCCACTAGGCATTCTTCTGAGAGTTTCAACATCATCGACATCTTTATTGCAAATAATATTCTATAATCATATTACGCTGCTGCTCATAGTCTTCTGTTTTCCGATCTTAACCCTGTATGCCTCATTTATAACACCCTCTGAACTGCTGCTCCTCTCTGCTACTTCTATTCCGAACTGGAAGACGTTGTGTGACATCTTGAGTGGCAGGACTACTGGAAATCTGAAAATGTTCTCGACCACAGGCCAAAAGCTAAATAAACCCTGTTGGTACCTGAAGAGTAACTCAATTAGTTAGTTAGTGAGAGTCCATCGAGTTGACAGACAGTCAGCGAGTGCCGAGTGGGTCGTCGAGTGCACCGAAGGAGTCTCTTAGTGTATCGCGGTTAGTGCATCGTCGAGAGAGTGTGTTGAGCTACGGGAACAACTGAATCGAAGAGTCGGGAGCTGTGCTCTGTGTGTCGTCGAGTGCATCGCGAGTTGTAGCGTGGAGAGTCTCGAGAGTACGTGGAGTTCCGAGAACGACCGAGCAGAGTCGGGAGCTGTACTTTGGTGCTTTGCCGTGAAGCTGTCTTCACCGTGATAGCCTGAAGGCTGTGTCGCTGATTGTTCCAACGTATTTATAGTAGATCTTTGACTACTGTAAAACGTGATTTTGGAGTTGTCCTGAAAATACTGGCCAATAAAGTGTGTTTCGATACTGCAGCAAACGCAGTTGTTCCTATTCACCTCCAAATTTTTTTTTCCGATTTTCTACTTGGAAGAGTGGCATTGGCACTTTAGTTTTAAATCTGTGCATTTGTGATACCTTCAGTACCTTATATCCAAGTTTTTCTAGTTCCTCTTCAATATCATATTTGGAACAGTCAATGGTGAGACCCCGAAAGATTACCTTAGTCCGTCGTTCCAATTTTTAGTGATGATGTAATTATCAATTTGTTTATCTTCCAGATATCCGGAGATTTGCTATGATCAGCCTCGGATTTGGGGAAAACTTTTAGGAACTCGCTATTGATTTTGACAGCGAAATAGAGTTTAGTATTAGTCTTGAGGTTTTTCACAAAATCAGAGATTTTTTTTTTTTTTCTTTTTTGCTTATTATGTGTTCCGCCTTTTTTATTGCATGGAACTTAGGCACTACACGGAAACAGAGGGATGCCCGGGGGAGGTCTTTTTAAGGGAAACTGGCTCGTATCCATGTTACACATGGAGAAAATCACGAAAACGCCCCTGCAGCCAGCCCGTTCGCCGGGACTCGAACCCCGGACCGAACTACCAGTGTTCAGCGGCTTTTACCGCTCGGCGGAAAATCAGAGAATTTAATACTTGGTTTCACCATGATAGGCTTAATTTTAGAGGGCACAACCTCCATAACTTCGTGCTCACCCTGAATGTTCACATTGTCAGTATCATTAGAAGTATTGCCCAGATCTTTGTTAGCTAGGCTTTCAAATTTATTGCTAACATGAATATCAATATTAGGTTTGATTAATTTAGTTGGCCTGGGCACATTACGAGGCTTCTTAAAGCCCTCATCATCATTTCTATCGTTAGCACTGCGTCTAGATTTTTTAACAGGTCTTTTTGGTTCAGGATCATTAACAGTACCAACACTCTAAGTGTTAGATACACACTTTACATCAATTTTATTGCATGGAACTTATTTAGCGTTTTTAGTACACATAGAAATAACATCATAAGTAATATTATTACTAGAGCAATAATCATCAGAATTGAGCACACTAGAAGATTCACACTTACCTTTATATAGTTGTATGAGTTCTTGGTATATTCCTTTTTTATTGTGGTAATGCTTTAACAGCGTTTGTTTATCATGTTTATTAGCGGCGCTAGCTAGTGTCTCAGGAAAATCCATAGCCATCAGTTTAATAGAAGATTGTAGAATGTGAAGTTGTTGAGACACAGTTATATAGTCCGCGTAAGACAGAGTATCTGCATTTAGTAATCCAATCCAGTTATCATCAAGCAATGCATTTGCGTATTTATGAACTTCATCCGGTAGCCATGCCACGTGGGCACGAACGGCAGCAGCGGCATTCATATTGTTCTTAATGCCAGCTTTCAGCTCTAAACAAAATATCGGAAACATTCGTGCAGTATCATAAGACAAACACTTATGGTTGCAATTAAAAACGGCATTCGAAAAAAAGGAAGCGGAAATAGTGGCACCGAATAAAAGAAAATGGAAAATAAGTTACCACCGGTTTGCAAAAGGAAAAATAAGGCATGTTTAGAAATGTCGCCAAGGTCGGAGAGAAAAATGCTCTTATGGTAACCATAACTTCAGAATAGCAAGGAAGTTAGAACCTCCTTGCAGAACAGCAGTTGTTTGCTGGAATGATAACTAAGCAAGCTGCTAGTCTGTCAAATAGTAAAAATAGAAAGGTGCCGGGTGTTCATCGTCAGGTTATCAACAGAAGCTACCTTGCTTCCCATGTAATATATGCAATCTTCAAATCTATCGGGCGTATACTGGGTCACAAAGTATTCATTCGAAAGAAATACAATTCAAATAAATAAAATTCAATTCCCAAAACATTTATATTAATTATATACTTAAATTCGAACGCATAAATATATTTTTTAAAAAATAGCTATATGAAGAAATATAATTCAACCACGCAACTTTAAAAATTAAAATAAAATTCTAAAGAGGAAAATTGTCTAAAAGAAAGAAAGTCTGAATAGGTTCAGATTTTAACGTACCGCAGGATTTGTTAAGTTTTTAATCCTTCGCTGAGCATCGCAGGTTACGATAATACTCTAGGATTCGAATACATTTTGGGGGGAGGGTCTTTTTAACTTTATTATTAAGCACCACTTTCCTCATACTTAGGCCATAAAATTAAAGAGCAAAATAAGAAAATGATTAAAAACTATCATGGGTTTTATTTAATCTGGAACTAATAAGTCCATAACATACGAAGCGAATTATCGCTGGCTCTGAAGTAACTACAGGTCATGAGGAGATTTTAAGTAACTCTTTTCTTTAAACAGAAACCTAGAACATAAATGCACTTCCTTGTGCTAACAATATCAGCTATAGCTCGTGGCAGCTAAACAGAGCAGTCAATTTCATGTTAAAAGCGAAACAGTAGTCAAACACCCCACAATTTAAATATTACTCGAAGCTGGCTTAATACTTGTCCTGGAGCGTCAAAATCAAAATATTAGCAACGAAATAACGCAAAGCTAAATAATTACAACTATCCGAGCTGGCAGGTACTAACACGTTAGCGTGCCCACGAAGCCAGAAACACGCTGTATCTTAAAAGTCCAAAATCCTCAGTTTAAATACTAGCTATTTCATTTGCATCTGGTCAGGAATACGAAAAGGAGAACTCAAAGTACAGATCTCGAAGTACAAACCATTATAATTGGTTAGTTTAAAATAACAGCCTTAGACATTATATCTTTAGAATTCCCGTTAGAGTGTTAGGAACTGCATACGTTTTCATATTCGATGTATATTTCTATGAAAACTAGCCGCCTGAATGAATTATGATAAAAGCAAAAAAGTATATATATAATGATGTATAGTATTAAAGTATATATGTAATGATGTAAAAAGTATATATATACTAATATGATGATTTTAGCAAGTTTTATTTCATAAAAATATTTAATATTTCAAATTAGACATGTCATTTATATGCTTTTATTAAATCAATCAGATTAAAAAGTAGAAAAAATATTTTTAAGAAATGTTTTTATTGCTTTTCAATCACTACTACTATTACAGTAAAATTAAATTTTAAAATTAAGTATCTTACGCTGAATGGCAAGACGCTAGTGAGTGGAGATCATAAGTATTCTGTTTGAGACAGTGGCAACACATTGCTTTGAAATAGCCGAGATTTTTAATTAAAAATTGAAAGAAAAATGTTTTAAATTCTGCCTGGCGACAGTCTGGTGTGTGAAGATGTTTTATTCGAAAAGTGTTGGCACTTCTCGCTTTCAAATCGCTGAATTTATTAAACAAAAATTCTTTAAATTTGTGCAAAATTTAAAATAAATTCTTAAAAATTCAAGAATAATCCCTAAGTCGACCATGGTTCATGTTGGTAAATATATTCCTTTATTTTTCCATTAACAGCTTCTTTGATTATAGTAAACCCAATTTGATGTTTATCTATGCAAATATGTAGTGACACTAATTTAGTGATGGATGCTCAAAAAATAACAAACAACAACATGATGCGTTTTTCAGTTTTTAATGATCAATATTAATTCTTTTGGCATTCTAATAGGCAGCCTCAAGATGACTCCCTTAGAGACATCCTTCTAATGGTAACTTGAGCGCTTGACATCATCTGTTCTAAGGTATCTCTGTTATGGATAAAGGTGGGTTGGATATAATTATCGTATAGAACAGCAGATCCATTGTAGGGTAGTGGAACAAGGCACCATAACATAAATAAAAACTGAAAAGAGAAGGAAAATTATTATAACTTATATTTAAGAAACGAAAGGAAGAAATTAACTTAATTTTGTAAGGTTTACTTTCATTAATGCGTTATGCTTTATGTTAAATCCCCCGGATATTTCTATTTCTACTTTTTCAGCTAATTCTACTAGAAAAAATATTAGATGTGTTAGTTTAAACAGCAAGCAGAAATATAAGAGAGAAAGAGTTGGCAACTGAGCCACTGGCGCCGCATCTTTCGTATTCTTCTCGACCTGTAACTTAACTTGTAACCTTGTAGTTACGATTCGGGAAATACTGTCTATCGTTAATCTGTTAAAACGTTTAGAAGTAGCGCTTTGGTTAGCAACCGAGTTATAAATACCGGGTAATCCAAAAGTTACAGCAAAACTAAAATCACAATAATGCAAAAAGTACAGACAGTAGCATGATGCGGTTTTCACAAAAGTACACAGAAAGGCATTAAGACCTTTTTATTAATATCGAAAACTTTTATTTCTAGAATAGTTACATTTTCACTGCCAGATGCCGCTGTATTTGTTGCGCGGAAGCGACATTTTGTATGAGACTGTATGGTTATCGCACTCAAGATTATCTTTAAGTTGTATCCTTACAAAATCCAACACGTACAGGAACTGAAACCAAGCGGTCTCGACAGCCATCATAAATTTACAAATTTGGTCGTTTCAACAAAAGTAAAACAACGCGGACCGGCTGCCAAATGTCTTGTGGACGCAGTTTTCGCTTAATACAAGTGTAAATACACGTAATTCCAGTATCTGGGTGAAAGAAAAGATGTTTCGGATATTGTTCGGAGAACAGTTAAATTTCATAATTCCCTTTACTGCATAAAACATCATAGGAAATATAACTGAATAATTATTCATATTTTTTTCTTTGAAAAAGGGGCATTGTTTATGTCTACATTTCGCAACGCTACGCAGTTATTTCAAGGTACAGCATCATTCCCTCTCAGCAAGAAAGACAAATGATCCGTAGAGTACCATTATGTAGGCTGGAGAGTATCCGCGCAGGATCTGTCTAACCAGATGCAATCAATTTTTGATGATGGCATGTCCTCAATCCCTCTTTCCAGCGCGAACGGCCACTGAGGTCTTCAGACCCTTTGACTCATGGTTTGCTCATATGGAATTTTCCGCCATCCTGTGACAGGAATTACAGCAGAATCCTCTCTGATACTGTGCAGAGTGTCATGCTGCGTCTGACGGCCATCTTTATGAATGACGGACCTCACAATGAACATTAGCTGTATTGTGAATTGTGCTATCTCTCAGTGAAAAATATGGATTCTGGCAATAAGATGTTTCGTCATTAAAACAAGTCCAATATCTTTCTGTGCATTTCTCTGAAGACTGCATAATGTCTATACGGTTCAAATTACTGAGCTTTTACTTTTCTGTTACTTTTGGATTAACCAGTATTTAATTTGCTGTGCTGTTTGACGTTTTTACGTACTTACATTGTTGTAGTCCAAGCACACCGAAAAAAGTAATGATTTATGCTTTTGTAAGTTTCAGCTAGCATTATAAGCTCGTAATATAAACTGACATTCAGTTCGATTTTATCACTGTTATTAGTTAAACAACACTCTTGGATTTTATGTTAAAGTCGGGACGATAATTCGGATACAGTCTAGGAAAGTCTTTAATTTCTTCATTCCCAGCCTAGGAAGAATGATGTGCACTCCTAAATCTGGGACATGCATACCGCGACTTTCATCGCAAGCCTACGCACTTTTTATTGTTAAACTGTTATTGTTATTGCGTAAAAAATTAATAATTATTAAAGGAATCATTATTAGTCGTTAAAAATAAACTTAATTCACACACACACACACATATAAGTAACCAAAAACGCTCTTGCCGTTTTGGGTAATCACAAAGAAAAAGTCATAAAACAAATAATAATCACCGCTAATCCTCAAAGTAATCATCATCAGGATCCAGTGCCTTTTGCCAAGGAATGGCTAGCTGTGAGATGCCATCACAATAAAACTCAGTAGCCCTCACGGACGCAAAAAAGTCGTTGTTTGACCGGTAGTTGAAGAATTTCCCACGAAGATGGTTGTCCAGGGAATTGAAAAGATGGTAGTCTGCTGGCGCGAGGTCTAAGGAGCATGGTGGATGGGGTAGTGTCTCCCAGTCCAGTCGCTGGAGGGTGTCTCTGGCCTCCCGAGCCACATGCGGCCTCACATTGTCATGGAGAAGGAGAACGCCCTTACGATTAACCAATGCTGGCTCTTTATGCATCAGTGCCTGATGCACACGATCCAACTGCTACGAGTACAGAGCTGCCTTGAGGTTTGGCCCACTGTCAGGAGCTTATAGGGCTCCACTTGGTGACTAGTCCCCAAGATACAAATCATGATCTCGCGTGGGTGGAGAGAAGGTCTCGCAGTGTGAGGCACAGGGTCCCGTCGTGACAACCAATGTCTGGAACGCCTGGGTGGGCCAAACTGGACCCACTTTTCATCGCTGGTGAGTACTCGATCAAATATAGATGCATTGCTGTGCCCGAGTAAGCGATGACAAACAGGTATCGACACATTGTTGCTTGTTTGCATCAGACAGTGAATGGGGTACCCACTTGCTCAGCTTTAATTTAGTATTTTTGTTTGCTGTTTGTGGGTGGCTGAGTTACTTTGAATTCCCTCGTTTCTGGAGATACGGGGCCGCTTCTTTTGAGTTATGGGATACTCGTGTCCAGGTGGGCTGAAAAGGAGCCTCCAATTCTTACAATTCTTACTTTTCTTATGCGGTGCAAATGGAGTCTGGTCGTTTCATCAGATACCTGGAAGCGTGCAGCAAGCTCACCACATGTTTGCCTTACTGTTAGTCTATAGCTGCTCTCAGGGCCTCTCAGGGCCCTGCGTGGTGCATCACTGAGAGATATATCCTCTGACCTGAACTTCTGGAACCATTGCCTGTCGGTTCGCTCGTCAATGGCATCATCTTCAAAGGCCTTGCAAATTCGGCGACTTGATTCTGCTGCATATAGGCCCACTTTAAAATCATACAGCAATCAATGTCCGGACTCCCATCCTAACCACTATATTGCTAGGCTTGACGAGCATTTTTATATTGGGGTTTACTCTTCCAATGTCATATCAGAAACGGTAAGAACATTTTTAGTTACCTTGTATAATGAGACATATTATTTTCCATAGGTGTATGAATGTTCTATGTCAGGAATGGTATTTTGATTGACGTACGAAAGAGATAAATTTGTAAGAAATAAATTTGCTTGATAATGTAAAAATGTAAGAGATAAATTTGCTTGATAGTTTTCAAGAGATATACTGCTAAAAATGAATTATATTTAATACAATTCTGGCAAAACCATGGCTGTTCCTAGCCAATTCACTGCTCGCATAATTTCCTAAGATTCTCGCAGCCAAATTAAAAGAAACCTGATATGTATACCACATGACTTCCCTGTACGGAATATTAAATTATACGCATTTTTTCCTGCATTTCATTTAAACTTACTTCCTCTAATTTAATTAGGGATATATTTCTCATTCAATGAATTCAGCTCTCCCTTCGCGACAAGACAAAAATACATATCTCAAAATATCTATACTAAAAATCGAAAGATATAGAAAAACATAAAACGGCAAATACAGTTAAAACAATTAAACAATTTTTTTATAATTAAAATTACAGTTTCTACGCAAAAACAAGCAATTCGGTCAGTGGGCAAGAAGGCAGATTTTTCGGTGCACCAAACTGAAAGTTTACTTTCGGTCTCACTCGGCAAAAAGACACTGAAGGCGTAGCAACTGAATTTGTTCTGGATACTACGCTGAGTCAATATATGATATAGTTTAATAACTTTATAAGGTATTTTTCCCCTTTCCTAGCGTGCCTTCGTGGTGTAGTGGTTCTGCAAGCTGGGCCGGTATTCCAGAGGTCCGTGGTTCGACTCCCGGCGAAAGCGTTTGCTAATTTTTCATCTTGCCTGCTTCCACAAAAATACCTAATGTCTCTACATTGGCATCCGAATTAAAAGGGTGTTGGAGGATGATTCTCCTCACCCAAAATTTCGCGAGTGGATCCCCCTAAACCCCAGTCGCCCTTTAAAAGGGGGAGTATATAAGGTATTTCTCCCGCTTTCCTAGCGTGCCTTCGTGGTGTAGTGGTTCTGCACGCTGGGCCGGTATTCCAGAGATCCGTCGTTCGATTCCCGGCGAAGGCGTTTGCTAATTTTTCAATTCTCCTGTTTCTAAAAAATATGTAATGTCTCTACAACTTAAATGATAATTCCAGAATGGATTAAGCGTAATTTAATTCGCAATAATAAAAGAAGACATTGCTTTGTTGTTGCAAAGCTTAGTTTCTCTAGATTGGCAACAAATCAATTATTCTGCTAAGCTTCAAATGTAAACAAATATGGCTGCTATGGCAAAAACGATTAAGCTTAGCTGCACTTACAACTTTTAAATTGTTGATAATTTTACAACTATAACAGGCAGGTTAACTAAAGGCATAAAAACCTTAACCGGAAGATAAAAAAAACATAATTCAATCATTTTTTTAAAGCAAAAACTGCACAATTTACAAACACAATTAAGAATAAGAAACCTGAGCTCACTTAGCCGAATATCAGAGTGGATATATATATACTTCTGGTGAGGCCGATTGCAACCAAAAAGGGAGGTGCACATCTACATGTTATAGCAGTCCCACATACAAAACTGCAACGTTCTGAGACTATTCGTTTTTGAGTTATGTGGTGTATTTAATTATGGCAAAGCACACTAGGGCTATCTGCCTAAGGGGAGGGATGCCTTCGTGGAGGACTTTCTAAGGGAAACTGGCTCGTATACACGTTACACATGGGGAAAACCACGAAAACACCCATGCAGCCAGCCCGTTCGCGGGATTCGAACCTCAGACCGAACTACCAGTGCGTTTTTGAGTTATGCGAGATACATACATACATACGTACGCACGTACAGACGCCACGAAAAAAATCTCTTCTGAATCCATTTTACATTCTGTTTTGGGGAAAAGAGTCCGTTGTTTTGACCGTACGTACAGATGTCACGTAAAAAACATCGTTCAGGGATTCGAGAGCAGTCAACATGAATAGTTTCGTTAAAATATGATACCCCAAATTTTCGCGATTATCGAATTACTAATATTTGATGGAAACTAGTTTGCACAAACCGATGATATAAAACAAGAGAAAAATTCTGAAAACTGAATGCCTTAAAGTTTTATTACTTGTATTTTTGAATATTCTTCCTGTTTGCTTAAACAAACTCACATGCATAGCTAATAATTGTTATCGTACTTATAAGCATAAGAATGTAGCAAATGTAAAGTTTCAATGTTGGTTTGGTATGAAATAATTATAAATTTTAGTTTATATTTGACTACTAATTAATCAATTTTTATCAAAATGCTACTAACCTTTCCAATTTGATAACCAGGTATCCACCAGAAAAAAGAATCCCCTATATGTTCAGCAGCATGGAAGAAAGAAAACACAATCCAATACTTCATCTTATGCATAGCTCGGTCCATGTCCCTTTCTTCAAGGGCTTTGAATCTGAAATAAATAATTTATATTGCAAAATGCCAATATTAATTCGGTGCTACGAATCTTAGACGACTTTCATTCAAAATTGCAAAATGTATTTTATGTGGCAATAATGCTAAAATTCCTAATCACAACTTCGTCAAATAGCTTTGTAATTACCCGCGCAAGAAGTTAATTTTTTCCCTGGTATAACAACAACATTTCGTCAAAGTCTAAAAAAGCATTTATAGTACTATTATGGGAAGAAATTCTCTTTAAACGCTAGAAATAAAACGATTCATTTATCTTATTCATGATTAGATCGATTTTTTAAATAGAACTTTAGTCTCAGTATGCACCACTTTGGGCATAATCACCATATCATTTAGTCGGTACTATTCTGTTTTGAGGGCCGTAAAAAAATTGCAGCGAAAATATATGCGCAAAAGCGCCAAATCTAGCAAACGCGCCCATTTAACAGCGCGTCAAATCTAGCGTACGCGCTGATTTCAGATTGCGTAAGTTTATATAGTTCTATATTTCTTAAGACGCCATTGAAATACTAGTTTAATTTTTAAATCTTATATATATATATATATAATGTTGTATGATCTTAAATCCATTTAGTGCGAATACAAGTTATTATTACTTGCGCAAAAAATTTGGGAATTGCCCATGACGTAAAGTCGGCAATAGAATTTTGTGTAAAGTGCAGAATCATCCACTGCTTGACGCGTTTTTAAGAACTGCACATACTCGGTATCCATGGGCACATCGACCTATTTTCACTTAGAAAAAAAAAAAAAAAATCCTAGAATTGCACAAAAATGGCACTGCGCACACCCTTGACTTTATGTACACATCGAGCTATTTTCACTTAGAAAAAGTAAAAGAAAATGGACAAAAATTCAATTGTTTTTACCCTTGTAAAAAGCGGGGATCAAATAAATGAGCGATTCTGCACTTTACCGAGAATATTTTCAAAGAAAAGGCATCATTCATTATAGAACATTACGTTTGAACAACCAACGAGATGAAATTATGCTTTAGCGATAATCAGTAGCGAAATAGCGATGCAGGCATCCATTCAGTTATGTTTAGCAATTTTTATATAAATTATAATAATGATCTGAAATAGTTATTTACTCTTTTGCTTCCATTCAGTCATGTTTAGCCTTTTTCATATAAATTATAATAATAAAAAAGTATTATATGAAATTAAGCTTTCATCTAAATTAAAACATCAATCTTTAGATAGTTATTTACTATTATACTTCCTTTCTTGCCTCAATTATTAGGGTTGCCGCAATTATTTTTGGCAGCATTGGCATCAGCAATAGTTTGGCGATTTTTACGGCCCTCGAACCCGAATAGTACCCATTAGTCTCTCCCGTTAAACTTAGCGCTCATTCATGCATGTTTAAAATTTTCAGTCTCGATTTTAGTTTGGGTATTCATGTATACGGGCATTTTGAACGTAACACTTTTGGAAATTCTCACGTAGGAGTAGTATTTGGCTGAATTTCATGAATCCCTCTTATAATTACACTAAATTTTGGATATAAGATTTTAACAAAGAAGAGATTTTTCATTACAATTATAAGTTGTTTACTGCTATGTAAGTAACACAGATAAAGCACTCGTTTAAGGTTTTAGAAATAAGTCTGCATCTCTTTGATTAAACCCAAAGAAATAACAATAATTCATTGTACTCAGTTATATCCAGAAAACTTTTTTTTTTAATTAGTAATGCTCATACTCCATTCAGAGGAAAGGTAGTAAGAAAGCACATCATTTTTTACAAGAAAAATTTGGGTCATTTTTTTATTTCATCATAAGGAGAAGTTGAAAACACGTACTCATGGAAAGTGGAAATAAAACAAATTTAAGAATACAAAATACAATCCAAGAAATATTTTTTCTTAGAACCGCATATGAATTCAGAAGAAACTGTTCAAATCAAGACAGCGCATTACCATTTAATATGGTTCTAGTAATACGAGGGGGATTTCTTGGAATACTTGCTCACAGTTTTAAAACTTCCGACGCCAGACATAATTAACGTTGAAATAACTGTAATAGTACTTACTACTCGGAATTAAATTGCTGTTCGTTCATAGACGTAATACTTATCTCTGGCTTATAATATGGCTTAGTCTATAAGCCAGAGATAAGTATTACGTCTATGAACGAACAGCAATTTAATTCCGAGTCTTAGATATAAGTCTCTAGTACTTGTAATACAAATTTAAGCCCTATATCTCCAGTAGTTGTAATACCGATTTGAGCTCTAGAAAATATTCGACAATATCTAGCACAAAAGTTAGCTATGACACAATAAAACTACCCGACACATCCAAGAAGGTATGTTTCGTCTCTGAAGATAAAAGAGAAGTCACAAACTATCTGACCTTGGGTAATTTCAGGTAGCTGAGCACTTTGCCGAACATTTAAATCGTCAGCTTACCTGAATAGTACAGACACAGGCTGAAGTACACTGGTGTGCAAACATTAAGGACGAAATCGAAAAATTAGCATATCAGCTGAACGAAGAGGCAGAGCGGACAGAAAGACCAATCAGGAGATTAAGTAAGGTGATGTACGGTAGCACATGCGCAGATATGCAGGTAGACGTAATGGGGGAGTGTCTGAGTAGTATAAAGCATGTTGTCGTGTAAGATCAGTATTTCTAGCAAAGAGATTGCACGCCGTATAGCAGTTAAAATCACACCGAGTTGCTACCTCAGGGAGAAATGGCGAATAATCAATCTGTTAGACGACATCTGGATGCTTTTACCCGAGGTCGAATCATTGGGAAGTTGGAGGAAGGCCGCAGTGTGACAAGTGTGGCTGCAGAGTTCGGAATTGCTCCCAGCATCGTTTCACGACTTTGGAGACAATTTCAAACTACAGGAACAGCTATCCGGGGATTTAGTAGTGGTCGTCCACGAGGAACCACACCCGCAGATGACCGGTATATTGCCTTACAGGCCAGAAGAAACAGGCGGCAGACAGCAGGGAGAAATCGCTAGACACACGACACAGGCGACTGGACGACCGATATCGCGTTTTACCGTGGCCAGAAGACTGCACGGAGGTGGTCTGTTTGCACGACGCCCTGTACGGTGTGTACCTCTAACGCCTGCCCATCGGAGAAGGCGTTCTCTGTGGTGCCGAGAACACCGGAATCGAAGAGACAATGAATGGGGACGAGTACTCTTTACAGATGAGAGCAGATTCAGTCTGAGTAGCGATTCTCATCGCATACTTATCTGGAGAGAGCGGGGAAACCGCAATCATCCCTCGAACATCATTGAAAGGGACTGGTATGGTGGCGGTGTTCTCGTTTGGGGAGGCATCATGCTTGGTAGTCGTACAGACCTTCACATCTTCGACGCAGGTTCAGTCAACAGGACCCGTTATTGTAACGAGATTCTTCTTCCATATGTGCGTCTTTTTAGAGGCGCTATGGGTCCGCAGTTCCTTTTCATGGACGACAATGCAACATGTCATCGCACAGTAGCTGCCGAACAGCTCTTAGAGAGTGAGGATATTGAACGTATGGATTGGCCGGCACGATCTCCGGATCTCAATCCCATCGAGCATGTATGGGAATTTCTAGGCAGACGCTTGGCAGCTCGTACCTTAGTAACGATTCCGGAGCTTCGATTGGCGCTGCAAGACGAATGGGCAGCAATGCTTCAACAACTGATTGACACTCTCATTCTCAGCATGGGCAGACGCTGTGAAACCTGCCTAGCAGTCAGGGGAGATCATATCCCCTATTAAAGACCGGATGTTTCTTGCTGGACACCCATCACAGGGATGTTTCGGCCTTCAGTCGCATTGCGCTCCATGCTACTTTTTCAATAAAGCTTCTTTTTATCCCTCTGATTTCTCTTTTAGTAAGTGTTGCTTACATTACTCATGTGCTTACGTATTGGGGATCTTACGGTATTAAATGTGTTGGATTTGAAAAGCTTTTGTACAAAGTTATATTGAAAAAACCGTCTCGTCTTTAATTTTTGCACACCAGTGTAAGATCGATACCTGCGAATCCATTAGGCATGTTTGGTATCACTGGCTCTTGTTAACTGCTAAGCTATGAATGGAATTCCGAAGAACACCCTGGGGGTGCCGATGGTATTCTATATACTTCCGTACCCTCTCTGAACAGACAATATAGGCTTATAGGAGGGATTCATGAAATTCAGCCAAATACTACTCCTACGTGAGAATTTCCAAATGTGTTATTCTCAAAATGCCCGTATACATGAGTACCCAAACTAAAATCGAGATTGAAAACTTAACATGTATGAATGAGCGTTAAGTTTAACGGGAGAAATTAATGATATGGTGATTATGCCCAAAGTGGTGCATACCCAGACTAAAGTTCTACAATAACAATGCTTCTTCCGGGTTTCGATCCTGAGGCCATTTGTATGGTATGGCAGTCAGCGTCAATAACTACTATATCGGCTGGACGGCGATGTCTTGTTGCAGACAAAGGTTGAAGCAAGGCCGACTCCTGCGCATCCATCTAGTCGCACTAGATATCGCTGGGTCATCCTAACTTCTAAGCTACCGCTCTGGATGGAATTCCGAGAAAGAACAACCGAGGGGGGCAAGTTTGGAAGGTTTCCCACCCCTCTTCCGCTACCTCCACCCTCTGGAGAGGATTTCGGCTCGCACTGCATTTTGACAGTCTCCTTGAAGCACAGACACTATAAATTTACAAACATCCATGTCTTCACAGGAATTCGAACTAAGCTCTTCGGTAAGCAGTCAACGGCACTAACCACTAACTGGCTTAGCGGCAATACGCTATCAAAGGGGTACAGGTAAAAGCTGGGTTATCCTTTCTCTAGTATCATCCATCTCTAGATAACTGAGATATTGTTGAGCTTTGCTAAATGTTAAGTTTCAGTCTCAACTTTGAAGGAGGACAGCCGAAGTGTGGCCCGAGGGCCTTCCAGTCGAAAATAAGTTGATGAAGAAAGTACACTTTCTCGCTAGAAATGTCAGTTTGAGGTGTATACCTTATTAGAGGAAACTATTTCGAGCATGTTATTAACGAAAAAGACTACTGAATTTATTTGAATTTCAATTGCCTTTAAAATTATTTTCGTAGCTATAGCTCTTAAAAGTAAAGAACTTACTTACGATTCAAAAGCTGGATATATGACGATAATTGCATCACACAGGAAGGTGATACCATAACCAAGCAGAAAAGTTAGTAACAGAGCGGTGGTCAAACCTGAAAGGAATAAATTGATTTAAGACAGAGTTTTCATTAACTTTGTTGTCTTATTCAAATAGTCTTGTCTCTTGACTAACTTAAAAATTAGGTTAAATTAGTAACTAAGTTATAATAAAACTTTTAAAAACTAAGTTGTAATAAAGTTGTCTTACATTATAATTTATCAATGATTCAAATTTCGAAAACTGGTAGAGGAATTTAAAATCAGATATAAAAGTTTTCATGATAAAATCCGAAGCTAGAACTGATTAATAAATTTGGTAATACTATATGTGAAATGAGGAGCATCTGCAGCTAGAGGAATGAGATGAAAAGAATTCCGAGTTCTTATTTTTTTAATTGATTTTATTTCTTTCATACATTAATTGCAACAGTTTAAGCATATTGCACGCACAATATAACTTAAAATATTTATAGATTAGTTTCGATCTTTCACAAATTTGATCTGTGGGACCATATTTTTTGTCTGGATAAGGTTCGATTTTCTTTCAAATTTACAGATTTTTTTGATAACAAAACTTACCGTGTTTAATCATAAATATAAGTATAGAGACAATGTTCTCTCACTTACATCCCTCCCACACACAAACAAACAAACAATAAATAAATAAAATTAAAAAATTCTAAAAAAAAAATCGAAGTCCTTACAAGCTGACATAAAACCATGAAACTATTGAAAACGAGTAAAAGGTACATTAAAAAAAAAAAAAAAAAAAAAAAAAAAAAAAAGGTCAAGAAATTTATTGCGTCACGAATGTTGATTCATTAATATTGAAGGGAACTTTTAATCCGTGTTGTGTGTGTCATGAGGCCGATTATTATTAGCCAAGAGGGTTGCAGCACATTCGTATATTACATTACATAACCCAAGAAGGATCTTTATCTTTCAGAAGGTATGGAATATAATTTGCCATACAAGCGAAGGATTCTTGTTCATATGCAGATATATAGTAAATATATCATTCGCTGAATCAGAAATGTTTCCCATGGAAGCGACGTAGATTCATGATACAGTACAAAATCTGTAATCCGGACGTCCATTATCCGGAATGATCTATAATCCGGACCTCAAAGCCACAAATTTTGTGTATTTGTTGTATGCCTTACGCATGCGCGTTTAGCACAAAAAACGAAGCAACTTAAACAACTCACATTGAAAGAAATGTTAATAAAGTAAACAATAAATTTCGCTTTTTTTTTTATAAATTTTGATACCCTTTAGATCATAATTGCTCTTTATTTCATAAATTACCCTTTCATATTTTTAATTGTATAATTTCTGCATGCCATCTTACCAGATTCAAACTGTTGATCTATAATCCGGAAAAACCCTTAATCCGGAATCGCCGAAGTCAGAACGAGTCCGGTGTACGGACTTTGTACTGAATATCTGTTCGTAAGGCAGAAGATTCAAAATTTCTGAAGACTGACCTATTCATTCGAAGCCAATCGCAACCGTTTCATGTGAATTATCACATCTGAAGGACCCGGAAGATATTACAACTTAGACATCTGATCTGATTAAATAAGCTCTAATCTCTAATCTAAGGAATCTTAATTAATCTTAACAATGAAATATATTTGATAGTTAAATATTACCTTTATATAAGTCGAAAGTGTATTTACTGATCAACATACTCTAAGCTAAAAAAAATATGAAGTAAACGTGCCAGATGCTCCGCGTTGATAAAAAAAGTTACTCCTATTTTTTTTTTTTTTTCCAATGGCAGATTGTGAACAGTTACAGTGTAACACAGTCCATTACTCTATACAAGGCCAGATGTGCTGGTCTCTTTATTATGGAGGCACCTAATAGGTAGGCCACCATCGCCTCCTATGAAGAGACGGACAGTTACAACCATGCCTTCTCCGGGATTCGAATCCAGTCCCTTCGGTATCGCAGTCAGGCTTCCCTAACCACTATACCGTTTTTTGGTAAGAAAATCCTGTTTTTGAAGACTTCTAAGGTTTAAAGCATGAAATGTAAACAAAAAACTTAAATAATTAAAACAATTTACAAACAAATGCACTCACCATTCGAAAAAGAGAAAACAATTTTACAAAATTAGTAAAAATATGAACAAATTTAATTTTTGACAGCAAAGCAGAAATAAGAGAAATAACCAAACAAAAATATACAGAAATGGCTTAACTGGTTCAATGAGTTGCTCTACGAAACAAAAATCGACTGTTACCACAGTAGACAAAAATTCGTCAAATTTGGCGAACGACGTGTCTGGTCACCTGTACCAAAATTATTTGTTTCAGAACATTTAATCTTTCTTTTTGTCCTTGATAATAATAAACTAGACAGAAAGCTTTTAAAGCTTTATTTCTTAGAAAGTAATTATACATTGCTGTTTATACTAACAAAAATAAATGGAAAAAAAGAGACGTCAGCTTTACCAGTAAAATGTGTAGCTGCTTTAGCTATTGTGGAGGAAAATATCGCTTTGACTTTTGTTATATTGTCTCTCATGTCATTTCAAGGATAAAACTGAGGTCCAGTTTACCGCGGTTTCAGTTTAATTACTTCGATAGCTTAATAAAGTACTTCATATATGACACTGTAGCGTTCTACGGGTTAGTGGATTTGCAGTGATTAATGACTAATTGAAGATTTCAAAAAAGAACACAATTTATTAGCCACTATGACTCAGGACAGTTCCAGAAACACGTTTACAGTCGTCGAAACAATCGGCAACAGGCTGCAACGGTGAAGACAGCTTCCCGGCAAAGCACCAAAATACAGTTCCCGACTCGGTTCGGTCGCTCTCAAGCTAATCTTTGAAATCAAAACACTACTACTGAACTTAGTATACTCTCGATATAGATACTCTCCTACTCCGCGTTCTGGCAGGATATCTATATCTGATATATAGCTTTTCCCCTGCTTTGGAGAACATTCTTCAGAAAAGCGGTAAGAATTTGTTCTAGAATATTCTCGCTCCGTCTATGGCACATCGCCAACTTTGTCGCCAAATTAGCGATTTCACGCAAAATCTGGCAACCCTAACCCCGCTTTGCGGGGAAGCTATTTTACCGCAGCTTGGAACTTCGTAATAGCTTTATTTATCACTGCACTATTTCTGAGAACAAAACTATTATCAAGGAAATATTTTCTTAAAAATTTTATGTACAGCGGCACATTGGCGAATACTTTTATACGCAGCTGTCTGTAAAAGAAATGTTTACTTATAGAAATCTGGAGGTCTTTCCTTACAATTTGACTTTCCTTATCAAAAAAGCAACTGTTTTGACTTATACCGCTGGCGATCAAAAGCAAATAAAATGGAAGGTAGATTTATATCATCTGCAGGGCCATTTCTAGTTGGGGCGGCAGTACGTAAAAGTACGCGTGTGGCCAAAATCATTGGAAACTGGACTCTCGTGATACTATGCCTAAATATTTTAAATTGATTAACTTCATTAAGTACTTGTCATATGCAAGTCATTTTTATATAATTTATCATATGTAAGTACTTAGTCAAGTATGAAATGAAAATGTTATTACTCACTGAGCACGTTTTCTTTAATTTGGGGGTGACAATCTTAGGAAAGAACGCGGGCAGCCAATGGCCTAGGAACGGCCCTGATCATCTGACAGTAAAAGTCAAAATAATTCGGTTGTTTGCAATGAGAAATTAACCATTTAATCAATACACACTGATGTATGATTTTTTTAAACAGCTCATATTTCTCCTAACTTTGAATCGTAGCAGGAGTGTATAATCTACAGTGTCTCACAAAAGTGATGGGACACTTGTGCTTTACAAAAGGAAACTGTAGTAAAATAAATTAAGAAAACATGTAAAAATTTTTTGTGGGTGTATTTCATACTTAAATTTAGTAACAATTATTACATAACATACGTTTTCTCAAAATATTAAAATATTCATTTAATAAAAATATAATTGTTTAGAACGGAGCAAAAAATGGCTCACATAAATGATGGGACACTTACTTTTCCATCAAATATTTATTCAAAAATTTTTACTTTTAAAAGGTTTTAATATTTTGTTTGGATTTCCTTTTACTTTTAAAACATGATTAATCTTCTTGGAATGGATTCGACTATTTTTTTTTTTTTTTTTTTTTTTTTTATTTCTGGAGTGATTTTACCCCATTCTTCTTGGAACACCGATTTTTAATTGTTGTTTTTTGAAGAAATGGTGTGTTTGCGAATTCTTGATTCCAATTTTTGCCAAATATTCTCTATGAGATTTAAGTCTGGAGATTGTGGTGGTGTTTTTATTATTTCAGGATAGTTATACAGCAGCTAGAGTCTAACGTTCAAAGCAATGTGCTTGGGGTCATTCTCCTGGTAGAATTTAAAATCGTTATGAAGGTTCAGTTTTCGTGCTGAAGATTTCAAATTTTGATTTAAAATGTCAATATACTTGTACCGATCCATTATACTGTCAATAAAAACAAGATTACTCCAGCGGACGACATACACCCCTATACCATAACTCCTCCACCATGTTTTTACCGTTGGCACCAATCTGTTTACGAAATTCTTCCCTGGGTTTTCTCCACACCAAGATTCTACCGTCGAACCAAATATATAAATTTACTCTCATCAGCAAATATAACTTCATTCCGTAATCATAATTTTTATTTATGTTGGATTTTGCGAAAGCCAGTCTGAGGTTTTCTATTCTTTTCACTTACGAAGAATTTTTTCCCGGCTGCTCTACCGTGATATCCAGCAGATCGAATTACTCTTCTAATAGTCTCATTATTAACAATTACTCCATATAATGCTTAAATCAGCAGCAACTTTAGGAGCACTCATTCTTGGATTTTTTTTTTTTAATATTTCGAACGATAATTCGCTTTATTCCATTGGATAGCTTTGATGGTCGGCCAGGTCTTCTTTTTATCCTGAATCATATGATTCTTTTTATATCGTTTAATGATATTGAAAAACTGTTGAATGACTCAGTTAACTGTTTCAGCAGTTTTTTCTAATAGATTTTCCACGTTCAATATGCAATAAA